CTACATTATAAGCAGCATCTTTTCTTGGAAACTAAGATGCTTTGGCCAATATTCTACCAGATCTGAGTATTAAAGAAAACTATAATAAATAGCATCTTGTTTTGGAAACGGACACTTTGGTAATATTCTACCAGATCTGAACATCAAAGTGAACTATATTATGAACAGCATCTTATTTTGGTAATATTCTACCAGATCTGAACATCAGAGTGAACTTTATTATGAACAGCATCTTATTTTGGAAGCGGACACTTTGGTAATATTCTACTAGATCTGACCATCAAAGTGAACTATTTAATGAACAGCATCTTGTTTTGGAAACGGACACTTTGGTAATATTCTACCAGATCTGAACATCGAAGTGAACTATATTATGAACAGCATCTTATTTTGGTAATATTCTACCAGATCTGAACATCAGAGTGAACTTTATTATGAACAGCATCTTATTTTGGAAGCGGACACTTTGGTAATATTCTACTAGATCTGACCATCAAAGTGAACTATATTATGAATAGCATCTTATTTTGGAAACAGACACTTTGGTAATATTCTACCAGATCTGACCATCAAAGTGAACTATATTATGAACAGCATATTTTTGGGGAAACTGAGACATTTTGGTAATATTCTACCAGATCTGAACATCAAAGTGAACTATATTATGAACAGCATCTTGTTTTTGAAACAGACACTTTGGCCAATGTTACGTGTTTTCAGTGGCTTAGAAATAAAAGAAGGCTTGGTTCCTGGAAGGTGAGGCAGGGATCAACTTGCATGATGGTGGAGATGAAACATTAAAGACACTCTGAGCATGCAAAAACAGGAGACAGGGCAAAAAGCAAAGTATCAACAAAATCTCTTCAGCAGGTTGTGACAAAAATACAAAGGATTTGTTATATGAGAAGTTTTTATAAAACCAACAAAAATAACTAACAAATATCCAATCAGTATGTGTACCTACTTTTTGCCGACATTATAAACACATTATCATTTGTTTGTATGCTTCCATCTTTCTGATTGTTATATTGTGCTTTAGGAGGGAGCCATGGGGATTTCAGGCGGTGTGTTTAAAAAAAAAAGCCTCCGCAGTTAGAGTATGAGATTTCAGAACTGTTGCTGCCCTCTTCTTCTTTACGTTCTTTTTACCGCTTTGGGTGTCGAGGGAGATATAAGACCCTGCTTTGTTCTTTTCTGGCTGTTTCGACCATAGACACATCGTGGTGCTGTAGTTTCTTTGTTATCTTCCCATATTGTTCTTGGTCTACCTCTTGCTATACATTGTTGCCGTTAAAGGTATTTAACATCTCAGAAGCTCAGCTCAGTTTTATTTTCTCCCTCTATGCATCCTCACCTGTCCATCTCAATGCATGTATCATTCGTGTCCCACTAGCACACATCTATAAACATAGTAGAGGCTGACCTGAACATCCTCATATCCATCTGTAATCCACTATTCAGGATGTCCTTTCATAAGCACATTTTATAAGCAAAGCTAAATTACTGGATACATATCAACCAATGAAATGTATAATAAAATATATGTACAGTAACTTGACTCATATCTTCTTGGAAAGTTGTTTTGTTAACCCCTTCTCTTATAGTCATTAGCTCTGTCAGTCCCAGATGGTTGTTACCTCATCTGTCCTCACCCAAAATATATGTACAGTAATTTAACTCATTTCATCTTGGTTAGATGTTTCATTAACCAGTTTTAATAACTAACTAAACAACTACATTACTAAGCTGTCTTATAGTTATTACTCCATCAGTCCCAGATGGTTGTTACCTCATCACTTGCTCACCCAAAATATATGTACACTATAGGTGTCGTCAAAGCAACAACAGTCTTTAAATGCCTTAACAACATATAGAGCTCCAAGCTATACAGCTTAGAGAGACCAAACTACGAATCTTTGATTCTCCTTAACAACATTGTTGTACACTTAATTGTACACTCTTTTGTATACTTTATATTCAAGAACCAAGTATTTAGGTCTAAGGTGCCTATTTTATTCTGCTGGATATCTCCTTGATGGATGTGCTACAGTGAAGTCCTGCTTACTATAACTGGCACATTTGGCCCATCATCATCTAATACAGTTGTTATCTTTACGAGTCAACAATAACGCTTGTGACAGGCCACATAAACTTTATTGTCATTACACGTCACTCCCAGGTAACAACCCAACCCGTGGCCGCTGTGTGAACTTTTCACCTGTCCTGTGACCACTAGAAGAAACTAACTCTTGGCCAATAAGATTACAACAAACATATAGAGCTCCAAGCTATACAGCTTAGAGACCAAACTACGAATCTTTGATTCTCCTTAACAACATATAGAGCTCCAAGCTATACAGCTTAGAGACCAAACTACGAATCTTTGATTTTAAAATATGCCAGCAAAAGTTGGAGAACCACCAAAGAAATGGAACAAAAATTAAATGCATTTATAAATGAATGTCTGAGAAAAATCATAAATATAAAATGGGATAAATTCGACAAAGAAATAGGAGATCAGAGAAATATCGGACAAATACCTATATTGACTGCAATAAGACAAAGAATGTGGAAATATACTGGGTACACTCTGAGACGAAATGAGCAAAGAATTACAAAACAAGCTGTGAAATGGGAAAAAAACTGTCTGAGAAAAAGAGGATGTCCAAAGGAAATATTAAGAAGAACATTATTACGAGAGGCTAAAAATGCTGGGCTGCACTCTGTGTCAGAGATTGCGGGAGTTGCATGCAGTAGAGCAGAGCGGGGAATGAAATACAAGCCCTATGTGATGTCAACAGCACACAAAATGTGATGATGATAGATGCAGTGTTTCTCAGAAAATAAGACTGGGCATTTAATTTTTTTTGGCTTCAGAAGACACCATAGGGCTTGTCTTTGTTTTTGAAATAAATTATTATGTTTTTCAGGTACAAATATCTACATTTATTTAATTAAAGGTCACTTTTCCACGCTTTCGGGGGTCGCCGTGGCTGAGCGGCTAGACGCTCGCCGCGGATCGGAAGGTCGTGGGTTCGCTCCCTGGCGGAGCCGGACTATTTCCAAAAATGACCTTGGCTCCCAGGTCGACCCAGCCTTGAGTGAGTACCGGGTACAGTCCCGGGAAGTAAAGGCGGCCACATCACCCATCTTGTGCCGATTGGTCTATAAAAATATAGGTCTAGCCCTATGTGCCCTATACGCCTAAAGGCATGGAAAAGGGTCCTTTATTTTTTTTTACTTTTACTTTTTCCATGCTTTCATGCGTATTGGGCTAGACTTATATTTTATAAACCAAATGGCACTTAGTGGTGATGTAGTCAGCATCACGCCGGCCGCAGGCTTTACTTCCCACGACTCCACCCGGTACCCACTCAAGGCTGGATTTTTTTTCAAAGTTTGCTACTGCCAGGACCCAAAACCCACAACTTTCTGATCCGCAGTTGTGGATACATTCATTCAATTATGAAAATATGTATTTTATTATGTATGAAATGTTAATAATCTTTCTTCAATACATTCATTACTTTATAATTCAATGTCTGTCATGTTTAAATGTTTCAACAAAATCTGTCTGTGTGGCTTACGATCTTAATAAGGGCTTATATTTCGAGCATACTGTTTTACAGCCATATGTTATATCTATATATCATCATCATCATCAGGTGCCTTGCCAACTGGCGTGGGCGATCATGCCTCTCCATAATCTGCGATCTCCTGCAGCATGTATCAGTTCATGTGCCGACACACCTCCATGCCACGCAACAAGACTGTCAAGCATCTTCTCTCGTTGTCTTCCTTTATCTCTCCTTCCACAGATCTTTCCAGTGGTCACAACATGTTCTATTATCCCTCTTCTCATAACATGGCCGAAAAATGATGACTGTCTCCTTCTGATGTCTGGAATAAGTTGTCTTCGGGCTCCCGCCTCTTTCAAAACCTTTTGGTTGCTCTTTTTGGCTGTCCAAGGTATTCTAAGCATTCTTCTGTAAAACCACATCTCTGAGGCCTCTAGAAATTGTTTGGCCTGCCTACCGATTGTCCAGGATTCACAGCCATATGTTTTTTTTGTTTTTTTTAATATCTATATATAGCACATGATAACCTCCAATGTCATGGATTTATTGCATAAAATGTTTTTCATTTTATAAAATGCTTATTCTTCCCTTTAAAACACTCGTACCATTTTTTAAAATCCACACACAGAATTTTCCACGTATAAATGAAATAGACTTTGGCCGACAAAGATAAACAGAGGAATAATCAGAAGAAGAATGTAAACAGAGAGGGGATAACATTGGCAGGGAAGATTTAACAGACAAAAAGAATTAAACTTACAGAATTAAAAAACAGGAAACAAAAAACAGGATATATATGTGTGTGGGCCCATGCTGTGTGTATGTATGGGAATTAAATATACAAAATTAAAATAGACTGGCAGGCTGAAATAGATTATGAAAAAGACAGGTACAGTAAATTGTACAGACATGGTTAGATAAACAGGATCAAATAAACAGATATGATTAAATAGGATGAAATAGGCAAAGAGAATTAAACAGACATAATCTAAATAGACTGAGAGACTGAATGAATAGGATCAATAAACATAATTAAATGGGATGAAACAGACAAAGAGAATGAAACGGACAGGACTGAAATAGATTGGAGATGAAAAATACAGACATGGTGAATTAGACAGATATGATGAAACAAGCAAGATGAATTACAGACTTAAATAGGATGAAATGGACAAAAAGAATTACATGTAATTAATTGAAATAGACGGAGAGAGTGAAATAGACCACATGAAAAAACAGACAGGACAAACCAAACAGACATGATTAAATAAGATGGAACAGACAAAGAGACTGAAATAGACAGCATGAAGAAAAGGCGATGAATTAAACAGACATGATTAAATAGGCTGAAAGACAGGACTGAATTAGACAAGACATGATGAACTAAGGTGGATGAAATAGACAGAATTAAAAAGGCAGAGATCACATAAGGCCGACACCTCTGAGATTTTTTGCGATAATGACGTCTGTGACAGCATCGAAGACAAACTGGATGTTGTCTGTGTCTGTGGCACAAGTTTGGTGGCAGTAGATTTCTTTGTCAGGACTTCTGTTTTTTGCTTCAAACTGCGCCTGAATATATGCTGCGGCTTCTTGATATGACTGTCTCCCTGTACATAAAATAGAATAATAATGTATGTAAAGAAAGCACAACAGTGGTGTCTCCATGTACAGAAAAGAGAATGATAATGTCTCTCTGTATGGAAATAAAATAATAATGACTTCCTGTACAGAAAAATTAAATATCAATGTGCTCTGCTAGGGGTTTGTTTCTACAAGCCACATTGCTGTATTGACGAACACTTAGTTGCTATGACACACTAGAAATGAATGTTCAGTTATAGACCTTTATTAGCTAAATCAAACATCTCACAGACAGATATTCTCTCACATACGACCTCTCGTAACCAGGTCCGAGCTTCTACTGACTTACTACCGTCTCTCGGTTCACGTCTTCCATTCCAGTCTCACGCTTTTCTTGTACCCCTTATTCGCTCACCATGGGATACTCGAGACCCACTTATCTCATTTTCCTCTTGTGTCACTGGTCCTCTGACCTTGTCCTCACCATCAGGAACTCTCTGGGATTTCCCCGGGAATTCACAACATTACATAAATAATATCTCCCTTTACAGAAGATAAAATGATGTGTTCCTATATATAAACAAATGTGAATAATGTACATATTCATGATCAGATGTAAATGCTATGCTCCATTAGAGGATAAAGGGTGGATGAAGAAGTAAAGAGTTCGCATGAGACTTTCTGCGGTGGCCTTTAAAAATAAAATGATTGCAAGTTGCATTGTGGTTTACAGCTAGGCTGCAAAATCTACACCTCTAAGCTGAATAACTTTTTTCAGTAAATCCTTACTAATTTGCATCTTATGCTTGTTAAGGGGCAGTAAGTCTATTCTTTTATTAACTCATACACATGGTATCTGCATCATCCAGAAGACACTTTGACAGCAAAATAAAACATTTCTTCTTCATGTTCACCAGCTGTAAACTCCTGGAAAGAAAAGTCTTGTTCCATAGCTCGTTTTGTATGAACATCCATTTTACAGATCTGGCTATTTTGTATACAGATTGTTGGTTCCTCACTTCTCAGGTAGATGCACTCAGACATGAGGCACCGCTGTATAGAAGGTCTATTCTTCCCACCCCCACCCCACCCCCCCCCCCCCCCAAAAATGAAACCCACAAGGAAGACAAGAAGCATATGAAATAAAATAAAACATATATAAAGTGTATATACAAGTAATATCAATCAGTCAGGTGCTGTCTCCACACTGAAGATTGGCTGCAATGGATCTTCAGCATGCCCTATCTCTTGTCTTGCTTGTACTCTCTCTCAGGCTGCTGTTTGTCCATCTATTGATGTTGTCCTCCCACTTGTATCATGTCTACCTCTTGCTATCTTGTCTATGACTTTTCCTTCCAGTAGGGTTTTTAAAACTGTCTTATGTCTTTTAATATGGACAAAGTATTTATCTTTTTTTTTTTTCTTTCAGTAATTCCCTTTTCAGTCATAGTTTTTCCACAACCTCTGTATTCGGATGTTTTTGTTTTCATGACATACAACCTATTCTTCTGTATTTCCTGAGACCTCATTTGATTTTTTAGTTGATTTTTCACAGTCCAAGTTTCTGCACCATACAGCAGGGCTGAGTATACATAACATTTGATGATTCTCATTGTTTGTTTATCTCTCTAGCTGTCAAAACAAAAATTGTTGCATCTTACTGAAGACAGTTTTAGCCATTCCTATTCTCTTTTTGATTTCTGTTTCACTTCTGCCAACAATGTAAAGACAATTGAACAGACAGGAAGCCGTAATACTGCTGTGTCTAGATGCTACCGGACGACTCAGGGTGCGTTGGGAAGACAACATCTGACAGTCCCTAACTGACAGTTGACTGGAATGGAACAAAGCCAGAAAGAAAACGGCTGATAGAGACATCTGGCAATCTCTCTGGCAAACCTCTACACCCCAAGGTAGAAGAGGAACGACTAAGTAAGTAAGTAAGTCTAGATGCTACCTCAATTCCCTGAAGGTTTTTGAGTTCATACCTGCATCAAGATGGATATTAATAACTGACCTGGGCCTTTAGTCCACCTATCATACAATCGGTTTCAGGAAATGGCGTGGGAAGCAAAAGGGCCCAGCATAGTGTTAACACTCTCATTCATTAATGACTATTATGCAATGTAGGATCATTGATTGCTCTACATGGTATGTGTTTCTTACCTTCTTTTGCATATTCTTTTTTTTTTTTTACATGAACTCATCATGTTCCAAATGTCACTTAAACTATTTCTGTTCAATAAATGTATTGATTTAACACATAAACACTTGAAAATTTGTATTCTAATGTACACAGACTTTGGGACTAATTGCTTTGTAGTAGCAAGTGACTAGGACTTAAAGAGTTATTTACCTTAGTTTTGATCATGGCTTTTTATGTTTTGAAGAAAACAAAATGTTGTTAATACTCACCACACAGGGTTTATTACAGAAGCAATGCAACATTTATGCATAAGAAAAAAGGCGTGATACTGAATACTATTGAGCACCGACTCAAAATAAAAAATCCTGTGTTTGACTCTTTGAGTCCCAAGGAACGCAGCATACGTTCATAGGTTCCTACCTAGAAGCCCAATGAACGCATGCTGCGCCGATTTTATTAATTTCTTTACTACCCTCTGGGCCTGTGATGCTAAACCCCCTGGGACTCAAAGAGTTAATTAATATAATGTATATCTTAGCCATCCTTCTCCATAAATCAAACCAATAAATTTCCTGTGTGTTTCTGAGTCCTGGGGGAAAGGGGGGGGGGAGTATGGATAGACCCATTGCCCACTAAACAGCTGTATAATGTGACAGATTAGAGGTGTCTTGTCAGAGAGTTAAAAGCAAAGCTTGGTCCATCCTCAGCTATATTTACATCAGCCTAATAACTGTTGTGTCTAAAGCAGCTCAAATTATTGTTACCACCTTTCCTCTTTCCAGACAAAATCACAACTGACATGGCTGCAGATTGGGCATTCCCATGCCTGCTCAGTTCTCAAATGCAGCAGCCACTTCAAGGTACCTCTACTGATTGTTCCCATGAAGAGTTGGTTATAATGTCTTCTATCTTGACCTTGAAGGAGGCATAGAAGTCCACTCTGCTTTACTCCTAGGTCATGCAATCATGTTAGTGTCAGAGATTTGTCATTATCCACTAGCCCAGTCCGTACAGCATTGAGTATATCTGCCCATGCTTCTTCGCTCATACGCTAATGCATTGCTTGTCAGTTGACAGTGTTATACTGTGCTATTGTGAGGCATGGAAATCACAGGCAATGGCGTATCATATCACAAACCCAGGGCAGTATTGTGAAGACATGCGTGCATTGCTTGCCAGTTGACAGTGTTATACTGTGCTATTGTGAGGCATGGAAATCACAGGCAATGGCGTATCATATCACAAACCCAGGGCAGTATTGTGAAGACCATGCGTTAATGCATTGCTTGCCAGTTGACAGTGTTATACTGTGCTATTGTGAGGCATGGAAATCACAGGCAATGGCGTATCATATCACAAACCCAGGGCAGTATTGTGAAAGACCATGCGTTAATGCATTGCTTTCAGTTGACAGTGTTATACTGTGCTATTGTGAGGCATGGAAATCACAGGCAATGGCGTATCATATCACAAACCCAGGGCAGTATTGTGAAGACCATGCGTTAATGCATTGCTTGCCAGTTGACAGTGTTATACTGTGCTATTGTGAGGCATGGAAATCACAGGCAATGGCGTATCATATCACAAACCCAGGGCAGTATTGTGAAGACCATGTGTTAATGCATTGCTTGTCAGTTGACAGTGTTATACTGTGCTATTGTGAGGCATGGAAATCACAGGCAATGTCGTATCATATCACAAACCCAGGGCAGTATTGTGAAGACCATGCGTTAATGCATTGCTTGCCAGTTGACAGTGTTATACTGTGCTATTGTGAGGCATGAAATCACAGGCAATGGCGTTCATATCACAAACCCAGGGCAGTATTGTGAAGACCATGCGTTAATGCATTGCTTGCCAGTTGACAGTGTTATACTGTGCTATTGTGAGGCATGGAAATCACAGGCAATGGCGTATCATATCACAAACCCAGGGCAGTATTGTGAAGACCATGTGTTGCAAAAGAGTTATAAAGTTGCAGCTGAGATTAATGTAACATTGAGTAAAGAAAAATCCTATCCTGTCAAAAATTACTAAAAAATATAAGGTAATTTGCTTAGGACCAAAAAGGTTAAGGATGAATAAAAAAGGATAAGAAGAGGAACTAAAGAAGGAAGAGGAAAGAAAGAGGGAAACAAACCCCCCAAAAAATTTTAAACTACTGGAACAGTTGCCCACAAAGTATAATCAGTCATACCTGTATATTCTGGAAAGCCTATTGTTAAAGGTGACTTCTTGATTTTCTGTTCAAAAAGATCTTTCTTGTTCAGAAATAAGATGATAGATGTTTCTGTGAACCATTTGTTGTTGCAAATGGAATCAAACAGTTTTAAGCTTTCCTGCATACGATTCTAGAAAAGGATGTAAGACATATTAACTTAATATGTTTTCTGTTTTCTACTTGAACTACAATTATGGAATCCCTCTATATTTTCTTTCTTTTTCTTTTGCCTTGTATCCTTCACTGAGCATGCAACTTCAACCAATTTGAACCCAACCTTTTTAGACCTTTTTATAATTGGTTGGTGTTTTCTGCTGAAACTTATCTAAAGGTTGGATAGCCAGCCCCAAGCCCAGCCTACCTTAAAGTGACTTTTATGACATGCTTGGTAGGGTGCAGTGCTATTACTGTTTAATATACTGACAGTATATTTTATTTATAAAGGGCATGTCTATGGCACGAGTTGCCGTGGTTTACTGGCCAGATGCTCGCCGCAGACCCAAAAAGTTGTGGCTTCAAATTTGCATCAATCTAGATTTTTTTCAAAAATGACGTTGACTCCCAGAGTGACCCAGCCTAAAATTAGTACCAGGTAAAGTCCCGGGAAAGATGGCCACCGTCACCCACAGGTCAATAGAAATACAGAATTAGCACTATGTACACCATACGAATGGAAAAGTCCTTTTTTTTTATCTGTGGTTTCTATTTGAAAGTAATATATACATAATTTTTTTTGGTTGTGTGCATGAGTACTGCCCCCACTGCCAAAGGTGGCTGTAACATTTTGCATCCGTCTTTATGACATCAGCACTTGTCTCTTCTTTCAGGAACCATAACTTCCATTCAGGCTCTTTTTTCTTCTTACTTTTCACTGGTTGTAAACTCCAGCAGAAAGATTTGATTGTTCATCTACCTCTGGATTCAGGCTTATTTAAGAACCCGAGTTCCTATACACATCTGTTTTAGAGATCTTTTTTTTTTTTGTATGCAGACTATTGGTTTCTTGTCTGACAGGCAGATGCATTCCCACTTTGAAGGAAACAGCCTAATTAGTTGACTTTTTGTAAATGGGAGGGGGGGGGCAGTGAATATTATATTTATCCTCCACACTAGGCCCCGGAACCCACACAAGGTCTGTTATTTCAGGAACTATACTTCCAATATTGCACTCTCTAAGCCGTTCAGTTTGCTTGTTAATTTGTTTCAAACCATCAGTAAATGAGAAAAGTGAATCTTGTCACAACTATTTTTTGGCCAACACTATGCTATCAGTGCTAAACATGGACACTTACACCCTCCAATGAACGTAAAATTGTGACAACAGAGATGAAATGCCTTAGAAGAGCTGCAGGGATTTTAAGAAAAGACAAAATACAAAATCAGACGAATGCTAGGAATAAAACCAGTTTTACAAGTCATTAAAGAACAACAAATGAAGTGGTTTGGACACCTAACAAGAATGCCCTGATACTATCTGCCACAAGCGAGCCACACTAAAACGTTACAATGGGTATAAAGTGAGTGGAAGACCTGGAAAATATGGAGTGATGGCATTAAGAACAGCCTTACAGAAATGAACATCAGTCTTAATAGTGCTCTTGACAGAGCTCACCAACGAACGTTACATCTTCCCTTGACACTTCACTGAGGTACAAAGTGGAAGAGAAGAAGAAGTAAATGAGATATGATGCTGTTAATGACCTAGTTTTATTAAATTTGTATATCTTGTAGAATGTCATTAATTTTTTTCTGTTTTTCTTCTTCTTCATCCTGAGTCATGCCCGCAGGTGGAGGCTGTCATTTTTCATCATCTCACACAATCACTAGAATCACAGATCAGGTCAGTGTTCTTGACTTGCCCCACTAAACTATTGATCTCTTTAACTTTCTTTTACTCTTTTTTCCATCAATCTTGCCAGTCATCACCAAGTTCATGAGCCCATTCCTTCCCATAAGAAATGAAAAAACACTGTCTACGTCTGACTGTTCTAATCAGATCATGGTTTTCATCTGTCTCACAGAGGCTGCCTTTAATCTGTCAATCTTTTTCTGTGGACATTATTAATCTGTCAAAGTCTTTCAATGTGACCATAATTAATCCATCACATAGCTTTCATAATTAATCTATCACTGGTATGTATATATGAACAAATCCATCACAGAGCATTTACAGTGGAGATAATTTATCCACCAGTCTTTCACTATAAGCATAATTAATCCGTCACTGAGCTTTCACAGTGGATATAATTAATCTGTCTCAGAGCATTTGCTGCGGATATAATTAATCCATTATGGAACATTCATGGCAGACATAATTAATCCATCACAGAGCTTTCAATGTGGGCAAAATCCATTACAGAGCTTTAATAGTGGAAATAATTAATCTGCCACAGACTTTCACTGTGAACACAGTAATTCATCAGTCTCAGTTTATACATAATTAATGAGTAACAGAGCTTTTACTGTAGGCATAATTAATCTTTATCAGTCTTTCTTAAATAAGTATACATTAACAAAGCCTTCACAGCCCTTTCACTGTAAACCTAATTAACCCCAATACAGTCGTAAAGACTTACTGTTGTCTCATCTTCATGCAAAACTTGATCATATTCACTCATAGCAACACAAAATATGATAGCCGTTACGTCTTCAAAACAATGTATCCATTTTTTCCGCTCCGACCTTTGACCACCCACATCAAATAATCTGGGGAGGGACATGACTTTAATATTAAAATGTCTGCCTTTGTTTGAACAGCACAGATGACAGTTTCATTATTTATAGCAATAATGCAGTGAAAAAATGAATTATGACAATAAATAATGATTATATGGTAAAATATGACCATAAAAAATGATTATATGGTAAAATATGACCATAAATAATGATTATATGGTAAAATATGACGATAAATAATGATTATAGGGTAAAATATGACGATAAATAATGATTATATGGTAAAAATATTCTAGTCTCTTTTTTAAAAGAAATCTTGAGGTGGTAAATGATAGTCAATGGTGATAAATGATAATCATGTGGTGATAAATGATAAACATGTGGTGATAAATAGTAATCATGTGGTGATAAATTATAAACATGTGGTGATAAATAGTAATCATGTGGTGATAAATGGTAATCATCTGGTGATGGGAGGGGGTTGGGGGGGTTGGTTTCATACACCACATATCCAATGTTGCCATTTGTTTCTGTATTGTACGTCTATGGCACGTGTGTTGAGGTGTGTACGTGCTTGACACACATTTGTAAACACCAGTCGGAACATAGGTGTAGTGCTCATTATCCTATTGGCCGCCTTTGCTTCTCAGGACATTACCTAGCACCTGAAAAGGTCCTTTCTTTATTTTACTCTATATCTATCAAAGTGACGTCTGTCCAGAATGCCCTCTGGGAAGATAGAGAAGATCTTGGTCAGTATAAGCCCTTAACTTGGCACATAAATAAATCTTCCTTCAAAATTAGAGAGCTACTTTCATATTCTTTCAAAAATCTTTTTTCTTCTTCTTTTTCTTCCCATTCACCAGCTGTAAACTCTGGCGGAAGGTTCTGGTTGTTTATCCACTTCTGGACTGTAGTCCTGTTTCAGAACTTGAGTGTTGCATGTGTATTCGTTTGACAGATCTGACACATTTGTATGCAGACTATTGGTTCCTTGCCTCTCAGGCAGATGCACTCTGACTTTGAAACAAGCTGCCAATTAGTCGACTCTTACGACATGCTTTTGGATAGGCAGAGGGTCTTTTCTTGTTTTCCCTATAACGGAGCCCCTGGAACCCACACGGTGACTTTCAAAAATACTAAACAAAGAAAACAAGAATATGCATAGATTATCTCTACTCACCTGAAATTTAAATTTTTAAAGCAAAAATGAACTTCGACTATGCCGGTTGTTTTCACTCTAGTTCTTAAAATATCTTGTTCTGTGGGCATGTAATCTTTGGCACCTAAACGATCTAAGTCATCTAAAAAGCTGAAAAAATACAAATGAATAATATTAACACTTCTTGTTTCATAAATTGTTATTGCTAACAATCTGTTTTAGACATTTGTAATGTTAACCATTTGTATCAGACATTTGTTCTGTTAACAATATGTATCAGACCTTTGTACTATTAACAATCTGTTTTAAGACATTTGTACTGTTAACAATCAGTTTCAGACATTTATAATTACAGAAGATGCCTTGAAAAGATAAAAACAAGATTCACCCTTTTAAAACGAATCTTATGCAGGATCCCTACCTCAAAGGGGTTTTTTAATAAATGACAGCTGAGTCAGTAGGCAAGCATGCTAGTTTCATTATTATTGATAGTCATTTTGTAACTTCTTCTTCCTTTCTTCTTCTTTCTTTTCTACTTGCTTTCTTTTTTTTTTTATTTCTTTCTGTTTTCTTTCTTTTTTTTTCTTTCTTTTTTTTTCCTGCTGCTGCTGATGCTGCTCCTCCTTCACCTTTTTCTTCTTCCTTCTTTTTTTCCTTCCTTATTCCTGTATTATTTATTTCTTTCTTCCTTCTTACTTACTTTCTTTCTTTCTCCTCCTCGCTGCTGCTTCTTCTTCATTTGTTTATCATTCTTCTACTCCTCTTTCTTCTTCATTTCCATTTCTATTATCCTGTTTGCTTCACAGTATCAGAATATGAAATGATGTCTGTAATGAACTCTCATACATGCTTCTTACACCCCTGTTTAGATGATGATAATGAACAAATGATATTACACACCCAAGCACATGATGATGTTAACCACATTTCCAACCTAATGCCATTTGGTCTATAGAAATATCAGTCTGACACTAGATGCCTGACTAGTCACTGCAGGGTCATTTATGCACTGTTTAAAAACTGAGATGTAAATAAAACAAAACAAAACTTACTATTTTGCTGAATCATTGAGCTGGTACTCATTTGAACGACATAAGCACTCCTGAATTCCTGAGTCATGCCACAGCCTTTTCATAGCCGCAAGTAGCTCCTCCGAGAATGGCTCTGTGTCTTCCATTCTGGCTATAACATCCAGCACCAATTTGGCATCAGCCTGGATTACGAGGAAAACCATACAACTAAAGAACTGTTCTCAAACAAAATATGGTAAATAAATACAAAAATTCAAAACTGCTTCCGATTTGAAGAAAAAAAAAGTCTGTGGTCCTAATTCAACAGTGTTGCCCAGTACAAGATTCCTAATGTCTTTTATTCTCTCTTGCTAAAGCCTACCTCACCTTCATGTGGTGGATTCTGTTCTGTCCTCTCTTGCTAAAGCCTACCTCACCTTCATGTGATGGATTCTGTTCTGTCCTCTCTTGCTAAAGCCTACCTCACCTTCATGTGGTGGATTCTGTTCTGTCCTCTCTTGCTAAAGCCTACCTCACCTTCATGTGATGGATTCTGTTCTGTCCTCTCTTGCTAAAGCCTACCTCACTTTCATGTGATGGATTCTGTTCCGTCCTCTCTTGCTAAAGCCTACCTCACTTTCATGTGATGGATTCTGTTCTGTCCTCTCTTGCTAAAGCCTACCTCACTTTCATGTAGTTGATTCTGTTCTGTCCTCTCTTGCTAAAGCCTACTTCACCTGCATGTGATGGATTCTGTTCTGTCCTCTCTTGCTAAAGCCTACCTCACTTTCATGTGATGGATTCTGTTCTGTCCTCTTGCTTACTACCTCACTTTCATGTGATGGATTCTGTTCTGTCCTCTCTTGCTAAAGCCTACCTCACCTTCATGTGGTGGATTCTGTTCTGTCCTCTCTTGCTAAAGCCTACCTCACCTGCATGTGATGGATTCTGTTCTGTCCTCTCTTGCTAAAGCCTACCTCACTTTCATGTGATGGATGTTCTTTCTGTCCTGCTAAAGACCTTCTGTTTCTGTTCTGTCCTCTCTTGCTAAAGCCTACCTCACCTTCATGTGGTGGATTCTGTTCTGTCCTCTCTTGCTAAAGCCTACCTCACCTTCATGTGGTGGATTCTGTTCTGTCCTCTCTTGCTAAAGCCTACCTCACCTTCATGTGGTGGATTCTGTTCTGTCCCCTCCTGCTTAAGCCTACCTCACCTTCATGTGATGGATTCTGTTCTGTCCTCTCTAATAATCCTGCAGAAGGTTGAGATTTCAACCCCCATTGGACAACTAGATAAGACAACAAATGAGGCAAAATGTAAAAGCTAAATCCGGTTATATAGGCTCATTATTCAGTTGAGTGCTTGGTGCAACAATGTGAGCCAGGAATTTAATGGAGGATACTTAAAGAATGTACTCTCCCTATGCAAGTGGTAATTTGACTCATTTTATCCAAGTGTTACTTCAACACCTCCTAAGTTTACTTTGATTCCTTTTATCCAAGTATTATTTTGACTCTTTAGCTTCTTATTTCCAGGTATTACTTTGACTCCTTCTATCCAAGTATTACTTTGACTCCTCCAAAGTTAACTTTGACTTCTTCTATCCAAGTGATATTTTGACTCTTTCTAACCTAGTATTACTTTGACTTCTTTTATCCAAGTCTTACTTTGACACCTGCTATCCAAGTTTTACTTTGAATCCTCCTAAGTTTACCCTGACTCCTTCTCTCCAAGTATTACTTTGACTGCTTTTATCCAAGTTTTACTTTGACTCCTCCTAAGTTTACTTTGACTCATTCTGTCTAAGTGTTACTTTGACTTCTTCTATTCAAGTGTTATATTTATCTATCTAAGTGTAACTTAGATTTCTTTTATCCAAGTATTACGTTGACTTCTAAGTTTACTTTGACTTCTTCTATCCAAGCGTTACTTTGTTTTCTTAAGTTTGCTGTGACTCCTTCTATTCAAGTGTTTCTTTGACTCCTTCTATCCAGGTATTACTTTGACTCCTCCTAAGTTTACTTTGACTCCTTCTATCCAAGTGTTACTTTGTTCTCCTAAGTTTACTTTGACTCCTTCTATCAAAGTTTTACTTTGACTCCAACTATACCCATTTTACTTTTACTCAACCTAAGTTAACATTGACACCCTCTATCCAAGTGTTACTTTGACTCCTTCTATTCAAGTTGTGCTTTGACTCTTATGCTAAGTGTTATTTTGACTACCCAACGTGTTGTTTTTACTTCTTCTATCCCAGGTGTTAGTTTGACTTCTGCCACACATTTTTTACACTTGGCTTTTGAAGCATACATGGATTACTCTAATTCAACCCCTGCCTTAAGTTGAAAAGAGTTAAAGTCACAATTCTTCGACAAAACGAGTTAGGACTCACCTCCCTGTTGGGGTCAGCATATGATATGTTCAGCGTCCTCATGGCCCTGATGATGGCGACCAGGGACTGGACTGTATTGCTGTAGACGACAGGCTTGTACTGCTTGTTGTCTTCAAGGGTAAATCCACCTTCGTGGATGATTCTGGCGGCAAAAAGGGAAATTTACAGAACAAAAGGTAAAAATATTGACACTCTCTTTGTCTTCTTCTTCTTTTTTCTTAGCTTTCACCAGCTGTAAATTCCGGCGGAAAGTTTTGGCTGTTCATTCACTTCTGGATTTTGGTCCTATTCCAGAAGATGAGTGGGTTTTTTTGGACCTCCAACTTATACCAGGCATTACAGTTAACACGGAGATTATAAATGCAGTGCATCGTGGATGGTAGCAGAAGTCACCAACAGATCAGCAGTGGAGGTGGATCGATTGAAGCACTAGCACCCAAAACCCGCCATCTTTCTCTGTCTTCCGTTGATGATAACTTAGTCAATTTCTTGATGCTGTCATTCCAGGTTCTTCTTTGTGGAAAGATTGACCTCCTTTTCTTTTAACTACCCCCCCCCCCCTCCCCCCACCAACCCCCCCCACCCCCGCCATCTTTCTCTGTCTTCCGTTGATGATAACTTAGTCAATTTCTTGATGCTGTCATTCCAGGTTCTTCTTTGCCCTCCTTTTCTTTGACTACCCCCCCCCCCCCTTTTCCCCCAAATGTTCCTTGCAGTACAGTCTTTGCAATCGAATCATGTCTCACCACGTGCCTAAATTAAGCTAGCATGCGAGGTTTCACCACTGCCAAGAGAGGCTCCTGATATCCTGCAAATTTGTATATTTTGTCTCTGACATAATTGTTAGTTTTGTGTTTTAAATAACTAGTTCGTCAAATGCGTCTGTAACATTCGCATTCGGTTTCCGATATGTGGCTCCATATTAGGATAGCGAAACGATTTTTTTCTTTGAAGTTTTTTCTTCTTCCAGATTTGCATTCACTAGGATTTAACACCTGAAGGATGAGTTGAGTTGAGTCTAGAATTGATATCACAGCACTCGGGCATTCTTATATGTGCTTCGTTGACACAAACCTACTTTATAATCTACTTACTCTGGCTCGTTGCGTAGCCAGCTAACAGACTCAACTACCACAGAACACACTTAAAACACACACCTACGGAGTACACACACAATCTTTAATGCAAAAAGAGCCATTCAACCTAAAGCAAGCCCCAACAGCTATGGACGGTCCCTATTCCGAAACGCCAGTGGTGGTAGCTTTTAAATTCACTAATCCACCCTAAGCTTTTCCCATGGATGTACCAAAGGACTCGATTCCACCTCACTGTTGTACGGCGCTAACTAAGCTGCCGTCCTCGCCACGCGAGACTCAGTGGCACACGCAGGGTGAGTGATCTAAGTATGAGCGGACAGTGTTAACGCCACCAACAATGAATGTCAACATTAACTACCTACTTCACAGATTCTGCGTGAAAACTTCTACTCCGCAAGAAACATTACCCATGCACTATCTTGTCAAAACACCTTATGGAAACACAACATCTCTAAAGCCTATCCTTGCTAATATAAACAACACGTCTTCTACACAAGTCTCCCAGAACAAACTCTGTGCGAGACATTTATGTTCCTCTCCAGCGTTCACCTGCGACACGCTGTACCTCCGGATACTCGCCGACCGAAGGGCTCAGTCCAACTCGACACATTTTTTTCCGTGGTCAAACTGTCCGATCTCGCTCTGAATTTGTCCGAGGGTCATCTCGTCTAAACGTGGTGATTCAATATCATCACAACTACTCATTCCGTAACTGAACTGCCTCTGACATCCGTCCTCAACCTTAGCAGCCAGCACAAAGTTCCAAAACTAATGGTAACGGTCGTAATCTGGTCGTATGTCCGTCTAGCCTTTCATCTGAGTATAGAGCCGGCCAGATCCTCTGGTTACACCCATGTGCCTCACCCTCTCCAGGCCAGAATAATCTTGTTTCGCTTCAAGAGAATCAACTAAGCACAAGTCCGGGAAACTCCGGTCAGACGTATGCCGCCGTCCGTATACAGTTAGCTGCGTGTGCTTTTACAAGATGTTGTAGAACCAACCCCAGCATTTTCTGGCTGCTGTGGTTTTTCTAGGCAAATTGTATTTTTAAAGGTCAGTTTTCGGTACCACTGTCGAAACCAAAGCAAGACGTTCTGCTGATAGCCATAGAGCACAGTTATACATTCCTAAATATGTTGCTCAGTGGCTTAGAGTTTAATTAATGCGTTTTACAATCCTCGATGTAGAGTGGTTGGATTTCCGCGGCGGACAGTGTATTCTAAAGAACGATCTTGTTACTTTCGGATAGTGGTAAAGGAGCCTCGTTCCAGCAGACAGCAGTGTGTCGTGCACTGCATGGGAACTTGAAGATTTATATACATATATATATATATATATATATATATATATATTAGGGCTGTACCGAATAGTGATTTTCACTATTCGGCCGAATACGAATAGAAGGACCAACTATTCGGCCGAATACGAATACGAATACGAATAGTGAATCATCATCATCATGTGCTTTGCCGGCTGGCATGGGCGATTATGCCTCGCCACAATCTGCGATCTCTTGCAGCACGTATTAGTTCGTGTGCTGACACACCTCCATGAAAAACCTTCGTTCCATGTTGTCAGCATTAGGCCAGCTTTTTGTCTCACTGAAGGTATTTCCAGCTGTACTAAACAGGAAAATACGACAAATACAGAGAGTCAAAATGAAAACCCTCAAGGCAGAAACATCAAAAAACAAAAATAACGCCGACGAAGGAAAACAATTGCCGTCCTTACAAGTCGCCCAGCCCCCCGCGAGCTCACGAACCAGACGCCGGGCGGCCAACGCCAGAAGATCAAACAACAAAGACAATCAAGAAACCGAACGTCGATCAAAACATTCAGCCGCTGCCGTTTCCACGAGACGACGAAAGAACAGATACGACACCCATAAACGATGACGAACTCCCGTTACTTCAAAGAATCAACGAAGAGGACACTCCACTCAAAGAAATCAAGCTGACAACACTGAACACTTGCTTTCCTGCCCCTCTTACATTTTTAAGTGTTGCATTTTGTTTCTACAGCAACACACCTAAAAATACTATACTCGCAACACATACAAGATGGAAATAAAGGGGCACTTGGTACGCTCGTAGGTGGTGCACAAAGATAACGCTTCACAGTATAAACCAAGGTGGGAAATCTTGATGTTTTTTTTTTTCACCAGTCCAGAAACGGTTGTGAGGTAACCACTATTCGTATTCGGCCCGACCGCAACTATTCGGCCGAATACCGAATAGTTATTGGGTCCACTATTCGGCCCCGAAGCGAATGCGAAGCGAATATTCGGTACAGCCCTTATATATATATATATTGTGTGGTACACAGGGCCTACATGAGAGGAAGTCATATAAAGTAAAGGCAATTGTATTCTAGTCTACATGGAACAGTATGTAGAAGAAAAAAAAATATTAGTTTAGACACAGTAGTGGTGAAAATTAGTAGCCTGCCGATGACCCACAGTACACATAAGTCAACCTCTCCTCCCAGTGGTGCAGACCGGGAAACTGTGGCCGTGAGGCCACAGGCGAACGAGGCTCTGGCTCGCCAGATGGGATGGGGTCCATCTGGTCAGATTTTCCCTTAAACTGCGACTGGCCTAGCAAGACGGCAGTGGATTTTTTTATTGCTACGAAAATTAGATTAGACAACATCAGAGCCCTCTATGAAAAAAGTGAAAGTGCAGTAAGAACATCTAGTGGTCTTTCTGGATGGTTCAAAGTCACAACTGGTGTCAGACAAGGATGTGTACTGTCACCATTACTTTTCATAACATACATGGATAAGATCACTGTAGAAGCAAACCCAGACGTGTATGCTATAAACGAATTACTTTTTGCTGATGATCAAAGCATACTGTATCAAAATGAATATGATCTACAGGAACATCTGACTACTCTCAACAAACAGCTGTTTACAAAACATAATATGAGAATCAGTACAGAAAAAACAGAAGTTATGAAGATCAGCAGAAAACACACAGGCCACTGAATATAAATGTTGGAAGTGCCAAAATCAAGCAAACCAAAGAGTTCAAATACTTGGGCAGTATATTTACAGAGGATGGAAGAATGGACAGAGAGATAGAAACAAGAATACAGAAAGCAAATGCTGTCACATACCAACTATCACCTCTGCTTAAACATCCAGATATAACCATGAAAGACCAAAAGACAATTGATAAACACCATCTTCATTCCAACACTCTGCTACCAGTGCCAAACATGGACAATCAACAAGACCCATGAAAGAAAAATAGAAGCCTGTGAAATGAAATGTCTAAGAAAAGCAGCGAATAAAGACCAGACTAGACAGGATAAAGAATATAGACATTAGAAACACGACTGTGTCAAAACTACGCCATGTTTAGACTACATAGAACATCAAAGAATGAAATGGTTTGGACATCTAACCAGGATGAAAAATGATCAAATAACATCACAAATTTTCAACCAAAGAAGCTCAGGATATAAGGCAAGAGGAAGACCAAGGAAACGGTGGATTGACGGGGTCTCCGAAACCTGCCAAAAGCATGGCCTCAGAACATCAGATGCTGCCCGCCTTGCTTATGACAGGAACTTGCATCTCCCCACAACGCTTAGCGGCATACGTGGAAGGATAAAGTAAAAAGTAAAAAGTAAAGTGTTGAAACACCCAGCATTCAGCCCACAATTGCCACCATTAGACTTTCATTTGACTGGCCACAGAACAAACATTTGCGAGGGTCAGATACAGATTCGCAGATGACAATGAGGTGATGTTCGTGGTACAAAACGGTTTACTGGCCACATCCAAAAACTTCTACCAGGCTGTCATCCACAATCTGGGGAGGGGGGTGGGGTCGGTGGACTACATGTGTTGCCAGGCAGGGAGACTATGTCCAGAAAAAGGACACATAACAATTTTGTTCTGGCTGCTTGTTTAAACAACAACAACAAAACAAAACGTAATAATGCAATTGCGGGTACCTAATAATGACTTCCCCTCGTATATAGCTTTTCTCCATCCAGGATTTCAGTCTATATGATAAACATCTCAATGATGAGGATCAAACTCCCCCTGGACTCCAGGCCCCATTGTTGGGGACACAAAATTGACCCACTGCCCCCTAACAAGCATGTCGTAAGGTTCGACTAGGGATTTTTTTAAAGTGCATTTGCATGAGGGGGCGAGGAACAAACAGATTGCATACAAATAAGCCAAATCTGTTTTTAAAAAAAAGATGTGTACGCAAAACTCAGGTTTCGCGGAACAAGACTTAGCGCTAACGGTACAGTTCTTGCCCCTTTGCTTGGTCTCGTTCTGGCCTAGATCCCGGGGCTGGCTTGCGGGGATTGCCCGGGGATGGCGGTTTAAAAACAGACGCTGAAGAAAAACCGGATGGATGTAAAACTTTTGGTCGGGGAAGGCGGAAAACGGAGGACAGGGAAAGATACTTTATCTAATAAGAACTATAGAAGAACTTATCATAAATAACAACTAAAGACTATAGAAACGGGCAGAGAATACAGAATAACAATGGGGAGGAAAAGGGTAAAAAAAGAAGATCCCCAAAACAACTATGGGGAGATCATGGTTTAAAACTATGGGGGACCATCATAAAAACAAAATTTCGAGAAATTTATAAAATAACAAATGGAAGAAAACGGAAAAACAAAAAAGAACTTTCCCGGGGGGCACCTTTTAAACATAAGAAAAACGAGGAATGGAAGAAGTCCAAAGGGGGAGGGAGGCCTTTAAAAAAAGGATCGAAAAAATAAAAAAATAAATAAACGATGCAAAAAATAAGCAATATGAATAAAAGAAAAGCTTTAAATAACATTATGCACATGAAAAATTAAGTTGTAGTTTTATGTTAAAATTAGTTATCCGTACAGGATTGCAAACCGACCCCAGCATTTTTTGGCTTTTTTGGGTTTTTTTCTAGGCACATTTTACGTCCAGTAGCCCATTGCTTTTAGGACGGTGGGTTTTGTTTTAAATGTCAAAACCAACGCAGGAGAAGGGGCCCGCAGCTGGGATGAACCCTAAAAACCCCGGCATTACGGGGGGCAACGCCTAAGCCCCGACATTTTTCCTGTATGGTTTTGAAAAAGGGTCTTGATAAATTTTTACCCTTTGTTCCTGCTGCACTGCTATGGGTTTTTCAGTTTCCGCGCATCTCTTTTACGATGAACATGTCGGCACTCAAACACAAAAACCACTTCAAGTAAAAAAAAAAAAAAAACCAAAAAAAAAAAAAAAATTAAAAAAAAAAAAAAAAAAAAAAAAAAAAAAAAATGAAAAAAAAAAAAAAAAGACGACGGAAATGGTTTGGGGCTATTTTATGAGAAGAATCCTGATATACCTCCCCAAAACAGCTCTCTAGGGGACCCCAGGGGGAAGAAAGGGGAAAGGGGGGCGCCCAAAAAAACAGGGAAAACGAACGATGGAGTGTGACCTGAATGGGACCCCTTACAGGGAAAAATTTGATTAAAGGGGATTGCACAGGACAGGAAAAGCAGGGGGAAACCTCTCTAAACCCTATGTGAAACTGGGCAAAAGAAAAACCTGAAAATATGATGATTTTCCCGTTTTTTCCAGCCCAAACGGGGTTTTGGGAAAACTGGCTATAGGGGGAAACATGAAAACCCCCTTTCCCCAAAGCGATTTGCCCTAGCAAAAAAGTTCGCGTTAAAAAAATTCTTCCCCATTTTTTTGATTTTAATTTGGGGAAAATTTTTTTAATCATAGCATTTATTTCGGGAAGCCCCCGGGGGCGTAGTGTGGGGGACGCTCGCGGCGGATGGGAAAAGGCCCGGGGGCTTTCGCCCCCGGGAGATGCCTGATTTTTTTTCAAAAATGCCCTTTGACTTCCAGGTCGACCCAGCCTTTATGGGTACCGGGGGGGCAGTCCCGGGAATAAATTTGGGCCCGGGGGATGCTTTACCACACAACCCCTAAAAATTAAAGGTTTTTAGCCCTTATGCCATATACGCCTAAAGGGGGAGAAAAAGGACCTTTTTCTTTTTTATTTTCTTGGTTCTTTTTCAAATTTTGCTCCCTAACTGCCAGTAATTTTCTTCTTTTTCTTATTCCCTTCCTGAATTTTCCCCCCAAGGCAACACGTTGCATGCCCCAACTGGGCCCGATCATCAACACCAGAAAGCCCCAAAATTCGAAAATCTCACCCTAGCACATTTAATCCATTTAAAGGGTTTTTTTTCTCAGTTAAAAAGCCAAATTTTTCACTTTCAAATTTTAACCCTTTATAGCAAAGTGGTCCCCATAGGGGTTCCCCTCCTGTGACGATGGGGAAACC